TCTCTGTGGTGGTGGGTGTCAGAGTTGGAGTCTCTGTGGTGGTGATGGTTGTGGTGGGTGTTGAGGTTGGAGTCTCTGTGGTGGTGGTTGTCATGGTCGTGGGTTGGGTGACACACTTACAGCACTGAACGTTGATCTCATAGTTGAGGCAGAAGGCCATAGGAATGACCCCACCTGGCTTTTGGTCTTCATTTTTGCATACTAGCCCCTCATGGACGTTACACACCACTGTTTGTCCAAGCTGTCCAATGGGAACATCAGGATGCATGGTGGCTCTGCAAGAGATGTTAGCTGCCCATCCTGGTTCACAGATGCCTTCAATCGATTCTGTATCTCCACCTGGTTTGTTAAAGTCAGGTTTTCCAGAATCCAGCCAGCCAGTCCAATTGCAGACAGGCACGCATGGGGTAGTAGGGGTTGTCGTTGAGAATGGTGAAAATGCAGAAGGAGTTATTGATGGAGAGAGAGGAGTAGTTGTTGGAGGGCTGGGAGTGGTGGTTGTTGGAGGGCTGGGAGTGGTAGTTGGTGAAGAGGTGGTTGTGGTTATTGGAGGGCTGGGAGTGGTGGTTGGTGGAGGGGTGGTTGTGGTGGTTGGTGGAGGGCTGGGAGTGGTTGTTGGAGGGCTGGGAGTGGTAGTTGGTGAAGAGGTGGTTGGGGCTGGGAGTGGTGGTTGGTGGAGGGGTGGTTGTGGTGGTTGTTGGAGGGATAGGAGTGGTGGTTGGTGGAGGGGTGGCCGTGGTGGTTGTTGGAGGGCTGGAAGTGGTGGTTGTGGTGGTTGTTGTGGGGCTGGGAGTGGTGGTTGGTGGAGGGGTGGTTGTGGTAGTTGTTGTGGGGCTGGGAGTGGTGGTTGGTGGAGGGGTGGTGGTACAAGCCATGGGCAGGCAACAATTGACACGTATCATGTAGTCGTAACACAGTCCAAATGGTCCATTTCCAAACTGGTCTTCATTCTTGCAAATGAACCCAACAGAGACATCGCACTGCACCTTCTGGCCTAGCTCCTCCAAGCTGAGGTGAGGATCCTTGACCGACCTGCACTCGATGTCCTCAGGGGCCCTGCAGACCCCATCAAATGTCTCTCGGTCGCCGCCGTCGCTGCCACTGCTGGGGTGGTCCTCGTTGATCCAGTCAGACCAGAAGCAGCACACCTCTAGGGAAGCAAAACCCAGCTCTTGTCACTCGCACCTGGGGAGAGGCACCTCCAGGAGGCCACCAGGATTCAGAGAACCCTGGGGCCTCCCTGACCGTGCCCCAGATGCAATCTCTTTTTTCCCCGTCATTGCCAGAAAACCAGAGTGCAGGGTCAGAGAGCTCAGGGCTGGACACCACTTCCATCCTCATTTTGCAAGTGAAAACCTAAGCCCAAAGAGACAGGGCCACCCAGCGTATGAAGGACCCTTTCCTCAGCTATTTTCAATACTTTTTTCAAAGAATCAATAATAAGAGAGCTGCCTATTCCAATAAAGAAGTGTGCCGGAAGGGGCTTTGTCTCCACTCTTAACCAGCAATATTGTCACTGACAGCCAATCAGGTCTCACTTTAGGCCCTGGCCTCAGCAAACCATGAATGAAGTCACCAAAATACACCTATCTTTGGTCCGTAAGCAGAGGAGTCTTGCCCTACCAGCCTCACATCTGGGCCCTGAAGGAAGCATCCTGCAGGTGATGTTATGAGACTTCACTCCTCCCACCCTCCTTGTCATCGTGAATATCATCACCGTCACTTACCCGGAGTTGTTGATAAAACTGCAATAAAGCAGGAAGAAAAGAGGATATCATTATATAGTTCAAGATCTTTTAAAATCTTGTCTTATTTTTTTTAAGTTTATTTTTTCTGTGGCTATCATACCCCTGGTGGCTTGTTCGGTGGTAGCTAGGATTTCAACCAGAACAAACGCAGGCGAACGTAAGAAAATTTCTCTAACCCTTAGGGATACTTTCCTGCTGGTTTTCAGAAATCTCCCCAGATGATCCTCCACTCTGGTCTGGGCTTGGGCATGTGGTCAGTATGCTACCATCTGAATGCACCAGGGTAGGGGAGCCAGGCACGCCCCCTCACACCTCAGTGCAGTGGAATGTCACCGTCACCTCACTCTGCAGCTGGTGTGCAGAGGTCAGAGCCTGGCTGCAGCGGGCCAGGGCCTGCCCCTGAAAGAGCCCCGTGTGCTGGATGCTGGATGCAGGGGAAGGTGAGAGCCTGAGGAAGCACGGGGGGAACCGGGGGCCTTACCTGTGCTGGGGGTCGGGGTGGTGGTGGTGGTGGTGGTGGTGGTGGTGAAGGTGGTGGGGCTGGTGGGGAGGGTGACGGTGGTGAAGGTGGTCAGAGTGGACGGGAGTGGTGTAGTGGAACAGATGTTGAAGTACTTTTCCACCGTCCCATTGGGGCCACAGAACTCCCAGTAGCAGAAGACGCCATCCTGGGTCCGGTTGACAATCTCTCCTGGAGGTGAGGGTGAGGCCAAGAATCACCTCATTGGGAGCAAGGTAGGGGGAAGGCCAGGTGTGCCTGAGCCCCCACAAGCAGCCAACAAATGCTCCAGTGAGACTGCACCTGTCCCGGAGCCCCTCTCTTTGAATAAAGGGAATCTCGCCAGAACGCAGAAGCTGGATCGGGGGAGAGGGTGATGGAAATTCCCCACAGGAGACCGGCACCCCAGGAGAAGAAACCAGATGCGTCACGGCAGCCCCCCAGGGCTGATACACATCGGAGGTGGGTCTGAGCTCGGGGGGACCAAAGGGTAGAGCCTAGGAGGGAAGCAGCACCCCCCACCCATCCAAGGCCCCACAGGCTTCCCCAGGATGGGCCCAGCCACCGCAGGGCTGGCAGCAGAGGGCAACTCACCTTCCTTTGGCCTGCAGATGACTTGGGAGGAGTTGGTGCACACGCTGCAAAGCAAGCACATGGCTACAAGTCCCACTCCACTGATGCTGCGCTCACCCTGCTCAGACCCCCAGCTTCCCATGTGGCTAGTACCGAGCCCAAAGCCCCCGGGCACTGCCCCAAAGCCAGCTCTGGAAAAGCCCCCCATTAGGTTCTAACTGTAGGAACAGAGCAGGGATGAGGAGAGGAAGGAAAAAGCCAGACCCAGAGGACGGTATGAGAACAGAAGATCCCCCACCCCAGTGAGGGTCTGGTGCCTCTGTGGCCTGGCTCCTGTGTGCATGCATGACTGTGTGCCTGTGTGTGCCTGTGTGTCTGTGTCCATGCATGTGTGCATGTGTGACTGTGTAACTGAGTGTGTGCCTGGGTGTCTGTATCTTTGCATATGTGCATGTGTGACTGTGTGCATGTGGTGCTTTGTATGACCGTGTGACCGTGTGTGCCTGCGTGTCTGCGTCCATGCATGCGTGCATGTGTGACTGTGTAACCGTGAGTGTCTGCCTGGGTATCTGTGCCTAGGCATGTGTGCATGTGTGACTGTGTGTGCCTCTGTGTCACTGTCCATGCATGTGAGCATGTGTGCATGTGTGACTGTGAGTGCATGTGTGCACTGTGTGCAAGTGTGACTGTGTGTGCCTGCGTGTGTCTGTGCATGTGTGCATGTGTGTACATGTGACTGTGTGCCCACAAGTCTGTGTCCATGCATGTGTGCATGTGTGACCGTGTGACTGTGTGCCTGGGTATCTGTATCTAGACATGTACACATGTATGCACTGTGTGCATGTGTGACTGTGTGTGCCTGTGTCAGCATCCATTCACGTGTGCATGTGTGCATTGTGTGTGTGACTGTGTGCATGTGGTATGCTGTGTGAATTTGTGTGTATGTGCACCCATGTGGAATGGCTGTGTGTCCATGTATTGTGTGCACTGTGTGCTCACACATGTGTGTGTACTCATGTGCCCATACGTGCAGCTCCCCCAGGTCCCCTGCCACGTGGGCTTAGATACCAAGACTTGCAGATCTCCTCGGGGCGAATCGGCGTTCCAGGTGGGTGGTGGGTGTCCTTGATGTAGCAGCCACACTTGTCTGCAGTGACACACTTCTTCTCATACTCGTCATAGATGGGCCTGTCCTTGGGGCACCGGGGATAGCAGCCTGGTGGACACAGGGCATGGGGTTGGGACCACCGCAATCCACCACACCCCACCCACCATCCGTACCCCAGCAGGCCCTTCTCCAGAGGATGCCCCTCTGGGAACGCCAGGGATTGGAAAGGCAGGGCCTGGATCTCCCCACCCCACTGGGCTCTGAACGATGCCCGCTGAGGAGCCCTGCCCGGTCTCATCGGGCCCCTGAGCAGCCCTGAGTCCCAAGACCCGTGTTCCTCTCCCATGGCGGGATACTCCCTCCCAAACTTCCTACCAGTCCCTCCTTCACGTCACTGGTTCTCAGCTCAGACGCCAGCACCCAGAGGGGCCTCCCCTGACCTGTGCCTGAAATGCTCCCCAACCCGCCCTGCTCTGTACAAACCTCAGCACCTCCCACCCCTGCCACTCCCAGTTTCCATGCCGGCCTGCTTCCCTCCTGACCCTGCAGCAAGGGGAGCCTGGCCACCCTGGGGTGTGGGTGCCCTGAGGGTCAGGCCTCCCTCCGGGTGTCCCCATGAGTCCCCAGACAACATCAGCCTTCAGCCCCACACAGCCAGGCCCATCGGCCGTCGCCTCCCCCGAGGGCCACCTGGCTCACCCTGGAGGCCAGTGGGCTGTTGCCTCTCCTGAGGGCCGCCCGGTTCACCCTCCAGGCCCCTCAGCCGTCACCCCTGCTGAGGCCCGCCCCACCCTGCTCACCCTCCAGGTAAGACACAGAGATGTTGGAGTGGATGCCGTTGATGGTCCTGCAGGTCTCGAAGCTCCGGTTCCCACATGGCTCATAGTGCCACTCACACTCATGTGGAGGGTTGTAGTAGTCGCAGAATACGGCTTGGGGGAGACAGGGCCAGGGTCAGACGCAGGAGGGCTCGCTCAGGCGTGGGCCGGGGTAAGGGTGAATCTGGGGTGGGGGGCTGGGGTGCAGATGTATCAAGCTTGCTCTGCCAACCCAGGTCCCATAGGGCCCCAAAGAAGGACACTGGAGAAGTCGGGGAAAGGGTGGGTGATGCACACCCATCACCTGGATGGGCAAGGAGTGCCGCCCCGGCCCGCAATACAGCACCTCCAATCCCCCTCCTGGCCCTGGGTCCAGTTCGGGCGGGCTCTTACGGCACAGGTCTGGCGTCCTCCAGAACACGCAGGCCCCCTCTTTGGTACACTCCTGGGCATAGGAGGCCACGGCAGAGCAGAAGCACTCGCAGTCCCCACCCGTGTCACAGGAGCACGAGTCGTGCACGCAGGCCTCGTAGAAGGGCGTGGGGTCCACCTGGGGAGAACACCCTGGTCTGTCCTGGGCCCGTGCTGCCTTCATGGGGCCAGGACTTCCCCGGTGCCCTGGAGCTCAGGACCCAGAGGCCAGCCCTGCTCCTGGGATAGGGCACATCACCCAGCACCAGCCAGCCAGGGCCCCAGCAGGGCCAACCTTGGGGAGAGGGTCCAGAGACGCCTGTCCCGCCGTGGCTGTGAGGACCCATCACCCAGCCCCTCTGCATCCTCAGCTGTAACATGGCCATCCTAGAACCCGTCCTCCCCAGCTGCCTGTAGCTGGGGATGTGCGGGCATGGGGGGCACATGTCCTTTCTCCCTCCAGGTGAATATCTGAGCCTGGGGAGGCAGAGGGAGGCTGGGGGTCCAGCCCAGGGTCTCAGAGGGGAGGCTGATTATATGGTCACGTGACCAAAGGATGCACCGGCCAGAGCCAAAGTTGGAGGACAAGTGCTGTGTGGTGACGCAGCAGGGCGACTCCTGAAGGTGTGGAGGAGCGTGTGGAGAAGCCCCCAGCCCCAAGAGCACCCAAGACCTCACCCTGCTGTGGCCACGCCCTGATCATTAGCATGCTCTACGGCACCCTAACCACGTCCACAGTCAGCCCATAGCCCTGCAATGCCTAGTCGGCCCCACCCACAGCTGCAACCCACCTACAGCCCTGCTCTGTCTAGTTAGCCCCGCCCATGGCCCCGCCCACAGCCACCGCCCACCTACAGCCCGGCTCTGCCTAGTTGCCCCGCCCATGACCCCGCCCACAATCACCACCCACCTACAGCCCTGGTCTACCTAGTTGCCCTGCTGTGGCCTGGCCAGCCCACAGCCACTACCCACCTACAGCCCTGCTTTGCCTAGTTAGCCCCGCCCATGGCCCCGCCCACAGCCACCGCCCACCTACAGCCCGGCTCTGCCTAGTTGCCCCGCCCATGACCCCGCCCACAGTCACCACCCACCTACAGCCCGGCTCTGCCTAGTTGCCCCGCCGTGGCCTGGCCAGCCCACCTTGCCATGGCAGATGCTGAACACATCGTTTTTGATGATGCTGCACTGCTTCTCGGCCCAGGAGCGGCGGTGCGGGTTCAGGCTGCAGGGCTCGGGGTTGGTGCTCACGTCCGGGCAGGTGGGGGCCTCCTTCCAGCTGTTCCCGAAGTCCAGCCCGCTGCTCACCACCATGTGGTCCCGTCTGGTGAAGTCGTTGTTGGAGTGGTCATCAAAGTTGCCGCACAGGCCACACACGGTGCCCTGCAAGAGACAAGCACCCCGGGGGCTCCGAAAAGGGGCTGGAGGGAGGGCAGGGGCTTGTCCCGCAAACACCAGGGCAGGGGGTGGGGGGCTGGCCAGGAGAGGACAGGAGAGGGCAGGGCAGGCAGGGAGGTAGCCCACCTTGTAGGAGGGAGCCAGCTTGATGAACACGGTGGTCCTCTTGTCCCAGATGACGATGATGCCCGTGCTGGACTCCACCACCAGGTACTGGCCCACCTCCCGCGTGGTGTAGGTCACATGGTGACCCTTGTCACGCTGAATCACCACATGGCCCTTTTCTTCCAACTTCAGCTCCGTGCTCTGCCCGGAGGAGAGGCCCAGTCACCGGCTGGTCTGAGGGTCCCGCAGGGCTCACACATTCCTCGGGCCAGCAGCACTCACCCCAATGAAGATCTTGATGGCCTTGGAGCAGGTGACACCCGTCGTGCCACAGGGGACGTTCTCGGTGATGATGCTGAATGAGCCCAGTGAGGAGTTCTGGCCGCAGTAGTCCTGGGGGCCAGGAGGGCAAGGTCAGCCAGGACAGCTGGGCCCCAGGTGTCCCAGGGCACACCCGCCCCAGTTGGCGGGGCCACAGCCACTGAGCAGACAAACCAGGCCCTGGCCCTGCCCATCCGAGGACCTGACCCAGCTGCAGGCCCGTGTCCCTGGGGATCACAGTGCCTCAAAGGGCTGTGGGATTTGGATCTGGAGAGCCTCGTGGGCAGCGGCCTAGCCCTGGCCCTTACTCAGCTCCCCATACAGGTGCCCTCAGTCCCCATGGCTGGGTGGTCAACCCCACCCGCCCTGTGCACCCAGAGGAGGACCCACAGGAGGGAGGACCCAGAGGAGAACCCAAAGGAGGACCCAGAGGAGGACCTGGAGGAAGACCCAGAGGAGGGAGGACCCAGAGGAGAACCACAGAACGGGGCAGTGCAGAGGGGTTTTACCACCCCCACCCAGCCCTGGCTAGAAGACCAAATCCTCCTGCGGGTGCGGGTCTGGGGCTGAGGAAAGGCCGGCCTTCCCAAGTCTCAGGGTTTCCCAGGGAGCTGAGCACTGGGCTCAGGGCAGGCAGAGGGTCCCTGACCACAAGCAGCCCAGCCAGGCAGTGCCCGTGACCACACCTGAACAGCCACATAGGAGCAGTGTCCGTCAAAGTCGTAGTACTTCCCGTCAAAGGTGATGTAGTGGCCGCTCCCGTAAATGGAGCAGGTGCCATAGCACAAAGCCTGGGTGCATACCCAGCGTCCTCTCTGGCAGGTGCTGAGGAGGACAGGAGAGGAGCCTGAAGGGACCCAGGACCCGCTCATGGGTGCCTGGAGGAGACCCTGGACACCGTGCAGACAGCTCCCTGTGTCTCCCACACAGAACACCTGCAGGGCCCAAAAGTGGCTCCAAATGTCCCTTCTCCCATGGCTTCAAGACCAGCGGCTGACATGAGAGACCACCCTGCCCGTGGGACAGGGTCTGCCACAAGATCTCGCAAGACCCAGGCCGACCCCCACAGGAGAGGCACCTGCCCCTTGGCCCGCTCTCCAGTGGCCACCCCTGCAGGGCACGTGGGGCCTGGAAGGCAGCCAGGACAGGCCAGGCCAGCTTACCAGGTATTGCAGTCCACCTTGATCTTGGCCCCGGGGGAATATAGGTCCTTGTTATGGATGCAAGGGCATTCCTTCTCCTCCACACAGCCGCCCCGGCCGTCGTCCATCAGCCCATCGGGGCACACACAGCCGCTGACACACTCTGTGTGGTACTGGAGACAGCCAGAGAGTGGGGTTCGGGGTGGACAGGTGAGGCTGCAGCCCTCCCTGAGCTGCCCTCCCTGAGCTGCCCTCCCTGCAGCCCATCAGGATTGGATACGCAGCCAGGAAAGGCCTGACCATGCAGTCTCTGTCACATCCCAGACCTCCCACCACTCCCCCTAGCCTGGGCTCAGGCCTCCCTCCCCTCAGGCCCGCCACAGGGCAGGGAGACGGTAAGGGCTGCTGGCTGAGGGCCCTACACTGGCCCCTGTGCCCCAGTGGTTCACAGGCTGCCACTTCCCTCCCAGGGACAGGGACAGCTTCGACAGGTTCTGCGTCCTCAGGACTCAGAACCCAGACCCTGGCAGGGGGCACAGTACAGGAGCCGGGCTCAGTCAGCCAGGAATCTCTGCCCGCCCACAGCAGCACCCCCAGCACTCACATAGCCGGCGGCCAGCGTCTGGCAGCTGAGGGCTCGGGGCTTCGAGATGGCCAGTGCGGTCAGGTTGCTGCAGTCCACGTGGATCTTCGGGGCCGTGCAGCCTGTGGGACGGAGGGGCCGCAGCTCCAGCTGAAACTGGGGGTCTCAGGCAGGCCGGGGAGGGCTGGTCAGGGAGGGTGGCCAGGGCAGGCGGGGAGGGGTGGCCAGGGAGAGGTGGCTGGGGAGAGGTGGCTGGGGCAGGTGGGGAGGGATGGCTGGGGAGAG